CGCCCTCGCCGCCCGGTGCACGTGCCGCCGCCTAGACCTCGCCGGCCTCCCCGCCGGACCGCACGCCTTCCTCGTCCTCCTCCCCGACGCGCATCACCAAGCCTCGCCGCCCCGTTCCCCTGCACCGCAAGTGAGGCCCAGCCTCTCCTCCGCTCTTCCCCTGCTCCGTGCCCGCCCCGGACCTCCTCTCCCCTGCTTCTGCTCCCGCATCGCCGAACGCGCCGCACCACGCACGCGCCCCGCCCACGCCTCGGGGCCGCGTTCTGGCCGCGCCCACATCGCAGCTCGACGTGCTCCGCCTCCCCCCGCTGTGGCCTCGCCTCCTATCGCTCTCGCCCGCGTCCGTGCCTCTAGCCCGTGCTCACCCTACCCTCGCGCGCTCGTCAGCTCGCACCTGCCGCGACCCGCACCGCTGCAGCCTCCCCTGCTGCCTCCACCGCCCGCCGGCGCCTGCGGACAGCCGCACCCGGCCAACCCCGCGGTGCCCCGCCCGCGCGTGCTCGTCCTCTTGCAGCCTGCCGCTGCCTAGGCCCCGCCTCTGCCTCTGGCCCCGCGGGCGCTGCCCCGCCTCGCCGACGTTGCTGCGGCTTCCCCGCCGGCGACCGGGCTGGCCCTGCCGCGCCGATGGTCTCACCCGAGGCCAGCGCCCGGGTTGGCCCTGTCGGGCGACCCCGCGCCCGAAACCATTAGCGCCCGATAGGCCCCTGGGGCCTATGACAGGCGGGCCCCACGCCCAAAACATTTTTTTTATTATTTAAAAAAAAGGAGAATAAAAAAAATATAATAAGCAAATAATTAATAATAAAATTAATTAATTAATTAATTAACTAATTAATTAACTTAATTAATTCTGATTAAATTAACTAAATAAGGTTAATTAACCTAATGACTAATTTACCTAATTAACTACTGTTAATTAGCTAACAGAGTATGACAAATGGGACCCACGTGTAAGTTTGACTTAGTCAATCCATGTTGGCTGTTGATGTCAACATGACATCATGCTGATGTCATAATTCCATTTTCGGATTAAATTAGATAATTAATTAAATTCCAGAAATTAATAAAATCTTTGGAAAATCATATCTTTTAATCCGTAACTCGGATTAAATTATTTTCAACATGAAAGTTGCTCAAAACGACGAGACGAATCCGGATACGCAGACCGTTTGTCCGCCACGCACCCCTAACATATCAAACTCGCAACTTTCCCCCTTCGGCTCCTCTGCCCGAAAACACGAAACACCGGGGATATTTTCCCGGATGTTTCCCCCTTCACCAGTATCGCCCATCCCTACGTTAGGTCACCCCTAGCACAACGTATTGCCGCGTCTTGCTTTGTGTTACATTTGATTGCTCCGTTATTTATTGTGTTTCCCCTCCGTTACT